GTGTGTGTGTGTGTGTGTGTGTGTGTGTGTTTCCCCGAGGAGCGGGAGGGGACCCGCGAGGCAAGGACTTGCTCTAACTTGTTCACACCTGGCGTTGTTTCTCCAACGCTCTGCTGCGTCCAAGGCCCAGGAGGCACGCGGAGGGCGAGGACTGATCGCTGGAGAAGACACCATCACTCCTACTAAGACGCCCACGCGGCCCAGAGACCTAGTTCTTCTTACTTTTTTTTTTTAAATTACAATTGACGGATGGGTTTCTATTGATGTGTAAAATTATAAATTGCCAGGAAAGCAAGACCGAGGGCCCGGGAGAGGGGAATAGGCAATTGACAAGACTCCCACAGTCGAACTGCAGAGAATTTGGACTGGGATGCAAATCTGAGGACGCACTCGAGGAGCTGGCGAGGCTGCCTCACGGGAGGGCCGGTTCGGCCGGGGTCACGCTGTTGGGACCTGACTCCGTCGGTTCCTCTCGTCCCTGGGGCTTGGAGCTGGCGCGGGCTAGACGACGCTCGGGCTGCCCAAGGAGGAGAAAGTTAGGATGCAGCGCGAGCCCCGGAGGGGCTGTGCCACCAAGTAAACAGCCGAGATCTCTGACTTCTCCGAGGGCGCTGCCCCAGAGCCAGGAGAGCAGGAGGCAGCGACGCGAGGACGCGCGTAGACCCACCGCGCGCCGGGGGCGGGCGTTTGGCTGGAAATGGGACAGTGTCTCCTCTGGGAAAGCGGGACTCGGCGAGCTCTTTGGCCGCCTTTCCAGTTTCGGAGGTGCCCGCCCCCGTGCGCCGGAGGCAGCGCAGCCCAGAGGACGAACGAATGGCGGTTGGCAAACTTGGAACGAGAGCGCACTCAGGATCGGAATTGCCGGAATTGTGACGGCAGCGGGGGCGGCCGAGACCCAAGTTCACTTTTTCCGCCCGTCCGACGGGCCTTAGGGACAGGCGATTGCTCTAGCTCTAACCAGGTGGAGCGCCTCGCCAAAGGGAGTTGTGTCAGTTTGCTCCGGGGCAGGGAGGGCGGTGGCCTAGGCGGGCGGGGAGGGGTCCCTAGGGTCCCGAGCGCCTCTCCCAGCGTCTCCCCTCCCACCTGCCCCAACTAGTCTTTCTTTCTCACTCCTTCCCCAGGCTGGGTGGACCCGCGCGGACTTGCCCCGGACCTACGGGGAGCGCCCCAGGTCTTTAATGACAGCTTAAAAGTGGCTGTTGGAAAAGTCGAAAGGGATGAGGCTGACGTGGGGCGTTTCGCTCCTTTGCAAGAGTCGGAAAGGGAGCTGGGAGCCGTGCGGCTGGCCCCAGGCCCCCGCGCCTCGCCGCCAGCAAGTAGGTGGGGGAACCGCCGCCGCCAGCCCCATCCCGCTCCCAAGCCTCGCCCGCTGCGCCCTGGCCGCGGGCGCAGAGAGGGTGCGGGGCCTCGCCGTGCCTCCTCCACCCTGCTCATTAACCTGCTTGCTCCTCTCTGCTCCGGGCGGCCCCAGACACGGGCTTCTCCAAGCAGCACCCGCGGCCCGCCCGGCTCAGCCGCCTCCCCGACCCCCCGGCTCCGGGGGGCAATGAAGGGGCGGTGGAAGGGGCACTGCTCCTCGGGCATTACTTAGAGAAGCGAGACCGCCCCGCCCTCCCGCCGGCCCACCCTCTCTCCCGCCTCGGCCCGCGCGCCACTCCGCCAGAGGGTAAGTTGGGAGTGTTTCACCCCCACCAACAACTCTCCCTCCCCTTTCTTTTTTTCTCCTTCAAAGTTTTCTTAGGAGTGGGAAAGGGGTGGGGGAGGAAAAGGGTCCAGCCAGCCTCCGTCTTTACCCTCTCCCAGTCTAACTTCCCCCCGCCTCCGGTCCATCCCCTGCGCGCCGCTGCCCCTCTGGAGCAGCGCTCCGAACTGACAATTGGAGCGCGGCTCCTTTAAGAGCCCGGCTTTGCCTCCCGGTAGCTGAAGGTCATTAAACACAAAAGCTCTCAGCGCTGCGGTCCAATATAGCGCATGCGCCCTGCCCGAGGACTGGCAGAGAGACGGCAATATGGCGAGAATGCCTGGCAGCGGGGACTGTAACACCAACGCGGGCGGCAGCGCCAGCGCCGCCGCCGCCGCCGAGAACAATGGGGAGCGGGGCGAGGGCGAGCGCGGAGCGGGGGTCCGCGGCCGCCGCCACGGCCGCCCACACTACTGCAGCGCCGGCGAGGAGGAGGAGGAAGAGGAGGAGGACGACGAGATCCAGGAGGTGCAGATAACGGGGGACGAGGAGGAGGACGGAGGCGGGGGGCTGGAGGAGGAC